GTAGGCAACCTTCGGTACAACGGAGGTCAACCCCAATACACGAACCCTACACCGCCTAATAGCCCGAGGTCGACAAACCCCCAGACCCAACGACCCACATCTCCAGCGGACCCCATCACTCAACTCCAAGGGCGACGGGAATTCCAGGGGAGAGCGAGCACCACTTCAGCCCAAACTCCAACCTCCTTGTCAACCACCGGCAACCCAAGTCGCCACGTGTAACGCCCCGTTTGAATTTGAATTATTTGAGATTATTTATTAGCTCATTATTGCCATTATTATTGCTTATTTATATTATTATTATTATTATTATTATTATTATTAATAAATATTTATTTGTGATTAAATGTCTAATTGTTTTAAATGCCTATTATTATATAAATATATATATTGCGTGTATTATAAATATAAATAATCCGGTTTTACTTATTTATTACGGGCCATATTCTATTAAATCGGATCGAACGGAAATTTTTGTTATCGCATTTGTCTTCCTTCCAGCCCAATTTTAGAATTATATGTTCAGCCCAAATGATGTTATTATGTTGGCCCAACTTGAGTAATGCCTATAACCCACCCAATAAGAGATAATTTTTTTCTTAGTACAATTGGATTAGATATTGATGGCCCAATTTCTTGTTTTAATTTTGGCCCAAATGGATTTATTAGCTTTGGCCCAAAATTTCTACAGCTCGTCCTCTTCCTCCCTTCTCTCTCTCTCGCGTCGTTCAATCGGTTTTTGCAGGTGAGATTTTCTCGCGATAATCCCTCTTCGTGCGTCTCGCTCCCCCTCTACTTAAGACTCGGATGTGTAGACCTTATCTCAGATTACCTCAAATCAAATTCGTTTCAAATCCAAATTAATTTCAAATCTCATCCTCTGTTTGCAATTTCCGACGAGCCACCATTGTTTCCGGCGGACATCCTAGCCGACGTCTCATATCAACAACCTCGTTCTGTCACCATCATCCGTCCCGAGGATCCACAGTCGCTGTAAGGCTTGAAGTCCGTTCCTCGAGTAGAGTGCTAACCACCGTCCTTTTTTCGAGTTTCAGGTCCATCTTCCAATATTTCCGACAAGAAGTTCCTCTCAGGTCGTTCCCCGAGCAGGCAACCTTCAACCCGTGACCCGTGCACGAGCCTACAACCGAAGTCCTCCCAATTTCCGTCGAGGCCCCGTTCGATCTTACGTGCGGCCCGTTCGTTCTACCCGTTTTCCCGATAACTCGTTATTTCCCGAAGACGGTAAACTTTTCGAAACCTCCTCGTAAATTGCTATTCAGAATGATATCGTTCGGTTATTGTTTGTTCGCGTTGAATCGTTGCGTTCGGTTTTGAATTCGGTTTATTTGTCTATTCGTATGTTCGTTGTTTATTTCGTGCGTACGTGGACTCTTCGGGAATAATTGGAACTCTCGATTTTATAAACGTGAATACCGTTGTGTTGTTGTGTTATAGGCATTTAATTTCGGAGTCCCGTTTTGTTGCTTAGGAGTCTCGTTGTATTATTTCGAGTCTTGAATGTCTTTTCGTTTATTTGGACAAAAACCCAACTTTATAAACATTTTTAAATTCTGAGATTTGTATTAAATTTGTAAAGTTTGTAATTTCCCAAACCGGGTCGATGTTGGAAATGTTGTGATCGAGTATGAAATTTCGTTCAGCCTGTTCGCGATTTTGCAACTTCTGTAAAATTTTCATTGCTCTGTTTTTGGTCCCAGCTAGGTTCTGCTCGCATGTCCCTGTTTCACTTTCAGTAATTTTATGATGTCAACTTAAATCACAAGCAAGCCTGTAGTGCAGTGGTCTTCTATGCTATTTCCGTGATAGAGGTACGGGGTTCGAACCCCAGCCTCGCGTTAAAAGCCTTTTTATTTTCTTTGGGTCTC